AAAACTAAGATGGTCGCTGAATAAATCTATATTGAAAGAAAAAGAATTTCTACAATCAGCAACAAAAGAAATGGAATTTTTCTTTAAAATAAACAAGAAAGAAGAAACCTCCCTCCAAAATGTATGGGATATGGCTAAAGCATACTTCAGAGGTTTGGCCATAAGGTATGTTGCTAAAAAAGAACAAAGAAAAGAAACAATTACAGCACCAGCGCTGAAAGAAGAACTTAGCAAATTGGAATCTGATTTGCGAACTGATCCACAAAAGAAGACGTTGAAGACACAAATGGAATTAATAAAACATAAATTAAACTTAACTGAGATGGATATAATGGCACAACAGATCAAATGATCTAAACAGAACTTTTTTTGAAAACGCTAACAAACTGGGAAGATGGCTAGAATATAAACTGAAGAAAGAAAGAGAAAAAAGAGTGATAAGCTACAAGATTCAAAAGGCGAGGTACATTTCCACAATGACGCAATGAAAAACATTATCAAGGCCTACTATGAGACACTTTACAAGGCAGAGCTGGCTTCCAACGAGGCAGTACAGAACTATTTAAAAAGAGCTGACCTTCCAAAAGTTCCAGAGAATATGCGACATATACTAAATGAGAAAATAACAACAATGGATATCACAGAGGCAATAAAAAGGCAGAATAAAGATAAGACTCTGGGGCCTGACTGACTTCCTGCAGAATTTTATGTAGCGCTACAAGATATAATAAGTCCGACTTTGAAGGAATTTTATAATGGAATCTTTTCAGAGACAAAAATATCTAATTCGTGGACTGAAGCCAACATTACCTTGACACCTAAAGAAGATACCGATCCCACACAAATAAAAAACTATAGGCCAATATTGTTATTAAATGTGGATTACCAAATCTTTGCTTCAATAATGGCAGAAAGAATGAAGAAATTCTTGATTGAATTTATCCATATAGATCAAAATGGCTTTTTGCCTAAAAGACAGATAAAGAATAATCTAAGGATTATCTTAAATGTTTTGGAATATTATGAAAACCACCCAGGGAAACAGATGATATTGATATTTCTTGATGCACAAAAAGCGTTTGACAACTTAAACTGGCAATTTATGTTTCAACAGCTGACGGAAATGGACTTTGACAAAAACTTCACAAATGCAATCCAAGCAATTTATAATAAACAAACAGCAAGTATATTGTTAAATGGAGATTATACAGAAAGTTTTGACATCAAAAAAGGCCAAGACAGGGGTGTCCATTATCGCCTCTGCTATTTATTCTTACACTGGAAGTCTTGGCTAGAAACATTAGGCATGATACGGAAATTAAAGGGTTGGAAATAAAAGAAGTACAAATTACAGGGATTTGCAGATGATTTGGTTTTTATCTTGGAGGAGCCACTAGAAACAGCTACTAAACGTCTACAGAAAATAGAGAAATTTGGAGAAGTGGCCGGCCTGAAAATAAATAGGGAAAAGACTAAGGTATTAACAAAAAACTTAACAAACAAACAGAAAACCCAATTTGCAAAAAGACAAATCTTCAAATAGCTAAAAGAGTTAAATATTTAGGTATCTATTTAACATCAAAATACACAACATTAAAAGAAGGTAATTATGAAAGACTGCTGAAACAAATAAAAATAGATTTGGAAAAGTGGAAAAATCTTCAATTGTCATTGTTAGGAAGAATCGCCACTGTCAAGATGAATATTTTACCGAAACTACTCTTCCTATTTCAAACAGCCCCTGTAAAACTGGGCAAGAAATTTTTTGACGATTTAAATGTAACAATATTGAGATTTATATGACAAGGGAAGAAAGCACGGATTAAAACCAAAATGTTACAAGAATCTAAAGATAGTAGGGGTTTGGGACTTCCAGACTAGAGAAGCAGCTATCCTACTCAAAGAATGAATTACATTGAGAAATAAAAAACTTCTTTATCTAGAGGGACATTACTTACAATTGGGTTGGCATGTGTTCCTGTGGTACAGGAAACAAAGTACATAAATACTTTCAAAACCATGCTATAAGGAATGTACTGCTTATAGAGTGGGAGAGAATGAAACACAAAATGTATACTAAAATATCGGAATGGCTTTCAATAATGGAAGCGTTTGCTTACCCAAATTTAATTAACGATGATAAACTTGTTATTTATAAAGACATTTTGGACAAGGACGGAAAACTTAAAAAAAGTTCTTCAACAACAAGGCATTGACTTAACATGGTGGTCGTATTTGCAAATCCAAACAAGATATGAAAAAGATGTAAAATCAATGGGATTTTACAAAGAACAGATACAACTTGATAAAATACATTTGAAAACAGATGAAAATTTGATTAAGAAACTTTATAAATTTCTTTTAAATTGGAAGATGGAAGAAGAACAAGTAAAAAAAACAATGATAGTGTGGGCAAAATTTTTTGGATATTCTATAGACTTAGAAGATTGGCAAAAGCTTTGGGACAGAAATATTAAACTTATTAAAGCAGTTTCATACAAAGAAAATTTATATAAAATGTTTTATAGATGGCATATGACACCAGTTTGATTAGTGAAAATGTTTTAAAATGTATCAAATAATTGCTGGAAATGTAAACAAAAACCAGGCACTTACTATCATCTCTGGTGGATATGCCCTTACGCAAAGAAATTTTGGTTTAAGACTCATATATGGTTGAAAAAGATGACCAAAATACAGATAGAATTTAAACCAGAATTGTTCTTGCTAGGAGTATTTGGACTTAATTATGGAAAAGAGAATATTTAATATTACATGTACTGACAGCTGCGAGAATAGCATTTGCCCAATTTTGAAAAACTGAGAACTTACCATCTAACCAAATTATAATTACAAAAATCTTAGAATGTGCAGAAATGGACAGACTAACGTTAGAGATTAAAGAGAAAGAAGACTCAGTTTATTTTAAAACATGGGAAAAATTCTATCAATGGTTAACAATACGAGCTAACGAGAAAGGAATGTGAAACTTAATAGGCTGAATAAGACTTATTGATTAACTATTATCTTTATGATTATTGCTATTTTCAGTGATTATAAGTGTTTAATACTATATTAATTACTGTTATTTAATATTTGTACCTGGACAATAGTCCGCTTGTTAAAGCGTTGAATGAGTACTGTACCTACCCTAACTTTTTATCCAACCCTACCTAATACCCATATCGACCCTATCCCCAACCTTAACCCTTTTCTACCCATATAAAACCTAATAAAATTTAATAAAAAAGGAGAGAAGTTGAAATAAGGGGGATTTTGGTCATTAAATTTAAAATATTTGGAAACTAGTTGAAAATAAGGATTCTATTTGTTTAATATTTGAAAATTAGACCCAAAAGGAAAAAAATTATGAATGTTTGATTTATTGATTAACCAGACAACATATATAATGATTTTGATTGATTAAAGAGGATACTGTATTATTAATTAGATGATTTAATATGGTGGGAAATAGATAAATTTTGGGAAATAGTTAAAGACTATATTCAAATAGATAAGATGTGTATTTTGAATATTAGATTCTGTTATGAACTGAGATAAGGGAAACTTTGGTTACCTAAAGCCTGGAAATTATAAATATCAAATGTTAAATTTGAATATTGATGGGAAATTAAAAATTGGGAAAAAATCAATAACAGGACATTGATTCTCTATAAAGATTGAATGTAAAAGTAATTAAGATATGTATAAGCTAAAATTTATTGATAAATATAATGATGATGTTTTTACTTAGTTGATATAATAAGAACTGTATTAGCTTAAATACAAGATAGTAGATATTAAGGGAAAAAGAGAGGAAATATTTGATGTTGTAACTTGAGATTTGTACTAAAGATTTTTGTATGTTATTGAACTATTGATTAACCCAGCCACCACATTGCTTTTCTTAAATGTAAAATTGGAAAATTAATAAAATATTATTTTTTTAAAAATGCAGTGATTCAGTTAACAACTGTCTCGTTTAACAACAGAAATTTTGGCTCAATTGTGGTCATACGTCGAGGACAACTTCTATTTTCATGTAACAAGGCCTTATATTGCTGACTGGTTTGAAAGATATAGCTAGCTAGAATTGATGCAGCTAGATTACAACATGACATAATTTATCTTATAGATATCAAATCTTGCTAAAAGAACTGCACTGCTTGCCAGTCTAGGGCCAAGCCATCTTTAAGGCTTAATCTATAAATCCTTTAACTAGAAGGTTACCTCAAAAATATTTTTGTTTTCCAAAGCCTGCAATATGAATACAGGTCTTTTCTAATGGCACCCATTACAGTAATCCAAATCCAGTGCTGATGTTTGTAGTGTAAAGAGTGCACAGAAGAGCAACAAAGATGTCTAGGGGACTGGAGGACAAAATATACAAAGAACAGTTGTAGGAATTAGGTATGTTTAGTTCAATGAAAAGGACTAGGGGAGATATGACAGCAGTGTTTCAATATCTGAAGGGCTACCACAAAGAAGAGGGGGGTCAACTATTCTCCAAAGCACCCGAAGGCAGAACAAGCAATGGATGGAAACTAATCAAGGAGAGAACCAACCATTTGCTTGAAATGGTATAGGGTTTGCTGCTTGAGCAGGGGGTTGGACTAGAAGATCTCCAAGGTCCCTTCCAATTCTGTTTTTCAGGTATATTTTATATATTCCCTTTTTGTTACCATTCTCCAGTCATTTCTCCTTTTATTTAATTTAGCTTATTTTAGCACTGTCTACAACTATTATAAAATGTCTAAGGATTCCTAGGGATGAATACAAGCATGTAAGTATTTTAAATAATAAGAGGACAAAGTGTAGTAATTGGTATGTGTACTCAGGGAATTATCAAAGCTCCATAGCAATCTAAGGCGTCCATACTTCAGAAGAGGTCTAAACCACTTGGGTTGAGTATTCATGGTTTATCAATAATCCCAATGTACAAAATTGCATTGCATTAAGAAAAGGTAGAATTAAAACATACTTTTACAATCATAACTTACTGCGATAAAAATCCTTCACTGTTTTGTTGTGTTACTGAAACATTTGAATGTTTTTTTGCCACATGCTGCTCACAAGAATCCTCTTGATGTACTACATAACTCTGAGGCTTTGGTAAAGAAGTCTCTTTTACTTTTTGAGGTGTTGCTCTCTTTAACTCAGCTCTTAGCTTAAAAGGATGAAGATTCTTCTTTTTATCTAATTGATGCTCTCCAAGATCACCTTCAAGGCTCTTCTTTGAAACCAATTGCCTGTTCTTCATCTCCATTTGTCCAACAAGGGATCTTTTCTTTTTCTTTTGAGTCCCCAATTGTTTTTTGGATGGTAACTGTGGCTTTTTAACCAGTGTATTATGGCATGACTGCTGCTTCCTTGTTTCTTGGGTGGTAACAAAAGACCTAACCAATTGCGATTTATCATTCTCCACAGCCAATACTTGTTTAATTCTTGAAGCATTTTGAAATCCATCAAAACTTCTTTCACCAACATTACATAATGTTGTCTTGATTTCCTTCAATGGAATTGGCATAATTTTTTTCTCCAATTCCTTTTTATTTTTTCTTCTTTCATTATGCTGAGCTTCCTTGTTTCCTTCAAATGATGCAGATGTTCTCTTTTTCTGTGGTTTTTGTTTCTTTCGAGAAATTGAAATCCAAGATGTAGAAGACAACTCAAAAGATTCCTCTATCAAAAATTCACATTCTTCTTCAGGCTTTACAGTAGCTGAATTTCTAGGGAAGAAAAACACGCAAGTGGATTCTCACACATCACAAAGGGTCAGTCTAAGAAACTTCATTTTCAAAATAAACTTAGATATTTTACAAAAATATTTCCTGATGAAAACTAGCACTAGTAACCATTTTTCTATTTTATTATGTTACACAAACTTCCTACATGTTGACTTTAACCCACCAAAGCTCAAGTCTTCAGAGCAAAATTCAAATCTCTCTCTCTCTCTCTCTCTCTCTCTCTCTGTGTGTGTGTGTGTCTGTGTGTGTCTGTGTATTAGCAGATCTGGACTTTATATTTTGTTAAGACTTATCTTAGAAAAATAAACAGAATTGGTTAAGTGAATGCTTTACAATTATGATCATAAAGTCATGCAGTGGCAGGTTAAATACAATAATGATAGATAAAGATTAAACATTCAAAGCTGCCTTTAATTAGGGCTTTATAATAAACAAAGGTTCACACCTATTACATTTCTGAGATGAAATTATGCTTTATCCTCGCAACAGATAAATTACTTAATAGAATGGATTATATAGAATCCTGAATATGCATCTCTTACACATAAACACAGAAAACTTTGTCCAGGCTTCTTCAAAGTGCCAACAATCCCAAGCCCCTTACTCAGAAGTAAAAACATAGCAAGACTTTTACCTAGAAAGGAGCTGCACACTACACATTCTCTTTTCATGAAACAAAATATTGGTTTAAAACTACAACAAACAAGTCCAACTCATTTTAACAATTCTGCAGTTTTCTCAATTGCTGTCTCTCACTGTTAAAATAAACCTACCATTAAAATTATAGACAGATCTTTTTTTGTCAGTGGGCAAAATCAACAGGTGATCAAATAATTTTTTCCCTCACTGTAAGTCCTTACATTTTTATTTGCTAAGAGGCTGGTTCTTCAATACATAATTCCTCTGTTTCTTTTCCTGCAGAAAAGATCCTAGAGCAGAGGTCCCTAACCTATGGGCCACAGCCCACTACCAGCCCACTATTTTGCCACTGAGCCACATAAGTGGTTGGCCAGAGAGTGTGCGCATGTGCATGCGCTCTCCCTTGCTTGCTCTGACCCTAGCCTTGGTGCAACCCTTGGCATGACTCTCGCCCAGGTGCTAGCCTTACCACAACCCTCACTCCTGCGCTAATCTCAGCGCGAACTTTGTGCCAGTGCGACCCTTCACGTGACTCTCGCCCCTGTGCTAGCCTTGATGCAACCCTTGTGCCAGCGCTAGCCTTGGCGCAACCCTTGGTGTGACTCTTGCGCCAGGTTTAGCATCGGTGTGACCTTCGTGCCTCTGCTAGCCTCAGGGCTAGCCTCAACACGACTCTTGCACTGGTGTTAGCCTTGGCGCGCTAGCAACCACATTTACAGAGCACGCATGCTCGCGGCCCCATTCACACGTATACGCATGCAATTACATTTGTGTGCATGTGCATACACGCATAAAGTGCCTGCCCCTCCCTTTCCAATTGGGCCACCAACCCAGAAAGGAGACCCCTGCCCTAGAGTTGCTGATAAATAATATCCCTCTTCATTAAAGCACAATCTGCATGGGAAGAGAATTAAATAATTCATTCAGGATTTTCCAAATGTTCTTAAGAACTGTTTTAAATTCTTAAAGAAAAACTATGTACATATAGTATTTTCTCAAGTCCTTTGGGAAATGTACTAATTATCACCCACCTCCTATAATTTTGTAAGATACTTAGTGTGATAAAGGCATGGACCCAGGCTCATCCCACCTTAATTACCAAAACATGGGAAAAAACAATTTTCTCTCAACAATTGATCATTTATCTACACCAGTGGTTCTCAACCTGTGGGTCGGGACCCCATTTGGGGTCGAATGACCATTTCACGGGGGTCGCCAAACCATGCTGTCGGCCATTTTTTTCCCTTTTCCCTAGCTGTCCTCCTCCCTCTTATTGGTGGCCACACCCACTTGGGGGTCACCATAACATGGGGAACTGTATTATGGGGTCACGGCAGTAGAAAGGTTGAGAACCACTGATCTACACTAACTTGGACATGAATAAAATACTTTCATGAAATATTCAACAGTCATATGAAATAATTTACTGGTTTGCACATGATTTCTCTCCTTTTCTTTCTCCTTTTTCTTCTCCTCCATCTTCTACAGGAAGGATTGATGATCCTAAGGACAACACCTCAATATCGTTTTCCTGAATTTCTTCTGAGATCTTGTTGCCTATTTTATGGATAAGACAGAGAAATACATGCAACATTATCATTCTTTTTGAGATAAGAAAACCAATCTTCTGCTGGTATTACCTTAAATTATAACTGACAAATTTATTGGTACATTTTTCTTAGGACAGATTTATTTTCTTACAATCTAACTTAAAACCATAGCTTTCTTATGATACATATGGAAACATAGCATCATAAGCTTGGAAAGAACCCTAGGGATCTTTTAGTCTTACCTGCTGCTTAAGGCAGGAACCTTATACCATTCTACTCAAATGGTTGTCCAGTCTATTCTTGAAAACCTCCATTGATGGAGCACCCACAATCTCTGGAGGCAAGCTAATCTATTGATTAATCGCTGACAGAAAACTTCTCCTTACTTCTAGGTTGGACCTCATTTTGAGAAGCTTCCACCCATTACTTCTTGTCCTGCTCTCAGGTGCCCTAGAGAATAAGTCAATCCCCTCTGCTTGGTGACAGATGCTCAAATACTGGAAGACAGTGTCAAGTTCAAATGCAAGTTTATTATAGTCAAAGATCAGAGACCCAAAATAAAAACACTCAATGAATATCTAGTTAAAAGTTCTAAAGTAAAATAATAAACAGATAAAATCTATATTAAAATCACAATTTGGCATCCAGTCTCTCAGTTACACATGCCCTAACTATACTATAATATCAGTCCTTAAACTGTGGGGCCTGTAGTCGTTTAATATATATGTATGTATGTATGTATGTATGTATGTATGTATGTCTGTCTGTCTGTCTGTCTTTGGTTATTCGGGTTTTCTCCCATGTAAAATTGGAAGTGTCTTGGCGACGTTTCGATGAAGTCCCATTCGTCATCTTCAGGCTGGTGTTTTCAGCTTCGTACTTCGAGGAGCAATGTGTGGTCTTAGAGACCTACATACTCTATCCCAAAATAGAATTTAATCCACCAAGCTTTCATCAAATACATTTGACATCGTCAGGGTTAAAAGGCAAATGCCGGGGGAAGTCTTATATACAATTGTTTAATGCCTATTTCCGGCTCCTGGAGTGTGTCATCAGCCCTAGCTGATCGAATTGAGTCCCAAGCACACACCCCACATCAGCACCTATCCTCTTTCCATTGCTAATTTGCATTCTGTCATACATTACTCCGTTAGCTATTTCAGGGTTGGTCAGGTTGCGGGTCAGAATCTTTTCTCCTCCCCTGCTCATAATTCCCCCACCATCCCACACACGGCTTCCCTTAGGGAGTGGGGGTGGGCAATTATTTAAATCGCTTCCAATATCCCTGCAAACCCCAAGACCATTTTGATCTTGTTTATCTATCCCTCGGGGTTGTAACGCAGGCTCATAATCACAGCCCATGCTATTCCTCCTCCCCTCCTCCTTCCCATGAGTTCTCCTGAATGATCTATTGTTCGTTTTCACGCTCTCTCCCTTGTGCATACTCAGGATGTTTTCTGCCATCGTCCCATTGTCAGCGCCTTGTTGTTCCGTCCATTGTCGGTAAGCACCATTCCCACTCATCCCCAATTCTCCATTCTCACTCCGTACGGGGCTCTTCCCCTTTAATTGCAGTCGCTGTTTCACTGCGCAGCTTTGTGTTGAGAATGTCAGAGGGGGGTGCCTTCCTCTGCTCGACCGCGACCGGGTTATCATAATGTGCCTGGCAGTGTCCTCGGGGGGGGGATTCATCCTCGTTCTCATCAGTGTAATTACGCAGGGAGGGAGGCCAAATCTTGGCCAACGACACAACAAAAGGAGGTCGCCTACTGAAAGAGGCATGGTTTTCAGGAATGGAGTCCAACAATTGGCGCGTAGACTTGTGTGCAGCGCATCAAGTTCTGAAAATGTGGAGTGCCAGCAACTGTACTAACGTGTGGAGGGGACCCAATCAAAAAACTGTAATCAAAAAAATACCACCCGGCCTCCCTCCCTGCGTAATTACACCAATGGAGCCTCAATTGACAGCTCCTCCCTCCCGGACATGCGATTACCAGCTAACCGACAACAGACTAACTTCAGCGGACAACCGCAGCTAGGTTTGTCATGACCTGCCGGGAGCAGACTCTTTTTGGGATGGAATGGAGATGGAGTGGGGCTTGAGGAACCGGAGGGAAAACAGAATATAATAAAGTCTAACGAGGATGATGAGAATGAGGATGAATCCCCCCTTGAGGACACTGCCAGGCACATTATGATAACCCGGTCGCGGTCGAGCAGAGGATATATACATACATACACACACACACATACATATACATACACACACACACACACACACACACACACATATATATGAGTTTGTTACATTAGTTGTGTAAAATAGCTATGGTGGATTAATCACGTTTCCGACAAATCCCCAGTGCTGCTGCACACTCTAGCCATCTGTGCGGTAATCACAGTCTGTTTGTCCTTAGGCAGCCACTATGTAAAAAGGCTCAGAATGGCCAGAATACCTATCAATTATTTTTTCAAATATATCTATAGAAAGAGAATCAAAGGAGTATGCGTCCAACAGTCTCCACCTCTCCTGAGCCACAGGAGCAGTCTTTCAGTCAGTGGTATCTTTTTATACTTGTTGTACAAGACAGCCGATGGAAACACATGAGAGCGAAAATGCTTTCCAGTGGTTTGCTGACTCGAACTGGCTAAGGTAACTGGCAGGAGTAACAACATATCTAATAGAGTCTGGAGCCAGAGAGAAGCCTAGTTTGGAAAGGTTGGACTCAACGGCCTTGATCCATGATGAAGAGAAATTGTCTTGGAGGGTTAATGGAGCAAGGCCTTCCGGAAAGAAATGAATCTTTAGCCAGAGATTTAAAGAAGCTATACAGATTCTTGCTTTGACTTTTATCAAGCCTGTCCCCAGGCACAGAAGTGCATTTGAGACACACGCGGCATCTGGAGAATTACTCTAATGAATTTGGATAGAACTCTTACCATTGATGTGAAACACGAAGCTGAGGATCCAAGCAAGGTCCGGTAAAGAAGCTGTGCTAGCATCTTGGCCAGAAAGAGCTTAATTGCAGCAGGAACCCTTTGTGCAGAAAAATTTGAGGATGGCGTTTGTTGATTTTTGGCCAGAGGCAGCCGCATATTCGCCATGTGTTTTTCTTTTTTTTTAAATAATATTTTATTGATTTTCTCATTTTACAATTGAATATTTAAAAAGCAACATGATGACTGGGTTAATAGTTCAATAGCGTACATAAGTCTTTAGTATAAATCTCATGTTACAACAAGCCAGATAAGCTTGAAATCCCTTCTTTGCAGCTGGGTTTTTTAAAGGTGGTAACTGTCAAGGTGAAACAAAATTTATCTGAAGTCTGGGCTTCAAGCTAAGTCTCTTTTAGGCAATAACAAATTGTAATACCATAATTTGCCACAAGATGTCTTCAATGCCGTTTTAAGCTTTTTAAGTCCAAAACTTATATGGTTGTTTTTCAAGTCTTATTTTTTAAAATAAAAACAAAAGTCTCCAATAAGAAAAAGAACACTTTCAGTCCCCAAGTTTCAAAAGAATATACATCCATTTAGATTAAAATTATTCTTATAGTTGCTCTGTTTCCCCTGGGTAGTTAGTCACCACTTTTCTTAGAGGGTGGAGTAAAAATTCCCTTCTCTCTCTCCTCACAGGGGGAAAAATGCTTAGGGCAGTTTTTACAGGAAAGAAAACTTAGAATCTTAAAGAGAGGATCTGGTCTTACCAAGTTTCATCCGCTTTGCTTGAAAGTTGCTTGGTGGTACTTTTGACTTTGGCTGTCAGCAGCTTAGTGACCAGCCATATTGGTATGGCCGGTCATTCCCCGCCAGTTTGGAGGGCTTCCCCGGATCAAACGGAAGGGCCAACACCCTCCTGTGATCAAACAGGGGTCCCCTCCTTGCTCGTCGCCTCTACGGGGCAACTTTCAATCCTTTCCAGGGTCCCCCAGTGGAATAAATTCAGACGCGAAAGACAGAGCCCGTCTTCCTGCATTCACGGCACCGCGATGCCAAGCCGGAAGTCACCATGTGTTTTTCTTGAACCAGTGGCATGGATGACCACCCCCTAGGTACTTAAAGGTGGTTACCTGCTCTTTAATATGACAATTAAGATACCATGAGTAGAGTTTTAGCCTATTTGCAAAGGCTATAACCTTTGTTGTCTCGTAATTTATGTCCAGTTTATTGTAATTACAATACTGGACAAGAGCTCTCAAGGCTCTTTTAAGGTCTATTGGTGTCCTGGAGAATATCACAGCATTATCTGCATAGAGCAGCAGAGTGATAATTCGATCATCTATTTTTCAGGGATGGTAATTTGATTTAACCATTTTACCATGTCATTTATATAAAAGTTGAAAATCAAGGGGGCCAAAATGCACTTCTGTTTAACCGCCTTTTGAGTTTTAACCAACCTTGAGAGGGATCCTTGAGGGATGTTTTAGTATGTAAGGCACGCAACTGATGGAGAAGCCTGTGATCAACTGGAGCAACTTCCAGCTTCGCCCATAGCTTAGTCCTGGTAACTATATCAAAAACTGCCTTGAAATGTATAAAGGCAGCATATAATGATACAGATCTATTTGATACATATTTTCAATCAAATGATGGAGAACTGAGCACTGATCTATGCAGCCTCTCCCCACTCTAAACCTGGCTTGTTCTTCATGAATCAAGTTCTCAGAATCCAACCACTCCTTATCTTGGAGGTGTTTGGCGTAGTTTGCTGATTGTATTTAACAGAGTTATTGGTCTGTAATTGGCAGGATCATCTCTCTTTCCTTTTTAAAAAATTAGGACAATTGCCAAGACCTCATCCTCTAGGATATAGCCAGTGAAGTCAATATAGGTGAATACCATCACCAGGACTATCCACCCCTCCATATTGTTCTTTAATAGTTCAGCAGAAATGAAGTTAGCTCAGCGGTCTTCCGAGTCCTGAGTTGGCCAATGAAAGATTTAATTCAGACTTTGAATTTCAGCCACTCAGGTAAATCCTTCATTGTATACCTTATTCTCTCACTG